GTAGCTTCTGCTCACCTCACTTAAAATTCTGAATGGTTTAGGCTATTGTGTCCTAATCACAAACCATTTTATTGTTGATGCTGATACTTGTACCATAAATAAGAGTGCAAGAAGAATCTCTTTTAATGCAATGTAATGGTGAAGTCTAGCCCTGTATGGAAATGCCATTCATGTAGCATAGAAAGTGCTTTGCAGGCTGACAAGAGGGAAGAGGTGATTAGCATAAGCCCTCTACCTATAACTGAATTTTATTTATGGAAGTGCAAAGCACTGACTGTCCAGTTAGTATACAAAAAGTACAACTTCTTGAAAAGTCAGCTATGGCAAAAAAAAAAAAAGCAAAGGCTCTTTATTTTCTTGACAAACAATTGAGGCTATAAATATCCATTATTACAGTGATGAGGGAAGAAGAACCAGAAAGATTTTCAGCATTCTGAATTTCTAACTAGCACTCAAATATTACTATGATGAAAGCTAGATAGACAAAGAGATACTTTTAGTGAGGCCCACTAGGACAGCATAACATGTGGTCTTAAACTGCATTTTGTCCTTTATATTTAATTTTCATAGCCAAGCAGTTTATTATGTTTAAACATAACTGAGAAGTTAGTAGATGCAAAATTTTGAATGTTGGTGAAAAATGTGATAGTGTCTCATGATAGGTGAAGGAGTGCCAAGGACCAAATAAAATCAGAGCTACTAATTAGACTCCCCCACCCCCAACGCTCCTCCGTATGTTGTTATGTGTACTACTTATGTGGTAGAATGCACACTTTGAATGCCACAGCCACATGGTACGTTGAACTCACCTGTATGCTGCCATCTCTTTGGGAGCTCTGACAGCCTAAACCTTTGAGCAACTTCCAACAGCCATCATTAAAAAAAAACCACAAAAAACAAAAAAAAAAACAAAATCAAAATTTACAATCCAAAGAAATGTCTGGTTTTTGTTTTTATTTTTTCCTCTCACGCCCAAAGGCAGACTTTTGTTTCCTTCAAACCCTTACGCGAAGCTGAGTAACAAGCTCTACAGGCAATGTGATAACTGAGTCCTTAGCAAGTTCAGCTGTTTCCTCAAACAGCTGCATATTGCCTTCTGGAGTATATTTGCAAAATTCAGTCGCCTCTTCTGCTGCTTCAAAGAACTGAAGAAACACTTTGGTGCCTTTTATGTTTTACAACTACTTCTTAGCTGCATCCTGGTGCACACTAAACTGCTCGTGCAGGTATGCCCTTGGGGTGCAGGTAAATGCTGTATATTTGAGACTTCCAGGGGTTTTAGGTACTTTGTAATAACTCCAAGTGACTCGTTAACCTTTTGGAAGTCCAAGAGCTGCACATGGCATAAGTTCAAATCAACACTACAGCATCTGTCAGCAGAGCACACTTGCACATTGAGGCTGATACACCCCAAAAGCATCTAGATTCACTGCACTCACATAACACATCAGAGTAACACAACCCCTCCAGGGCACTGCAGTTATTCATATATTTGCATGTTTTTATTTCTGCTGAGGACACAAAAGGATGCCCATGCTAAGCCTGGGAGGTCACTGGAGACAGTGCCAAATCAGATTTTAGTATCTGAGCTGTTTTTTGTAAAAGAAATAGAGAAGCCTGCTCTGGTGATATCCAGAACAAAAGTTAACTGAGATATCTGAACCATCTCTCCTCCCTCCCATCCTTTTCTTATATAGCCTGTTACTGTAAAAATTCAGATGCTGAATAGGATTTTCATACAGTTCTCTCTGGACACTCAGGAAATCCTGCCCCAAAGTTCTGGGATTTAGGAGACCCTATTTGCCAGGAAACAGCCAGGAAGTATTTTCACCTCCTGAAAACTGAATTGCACCAGAGGTGCATGAACATATGCAAGGGAAGATGCTAAGAGTACCAGGCTCTGTAAGAGGAGCATGAAATGACATGTACATATTGTAAAGGAGGTGTTTGGTTTCAAGGGAAAAATTAGACAAGGATAAATCCAAGCTACTCAGGCCTGAAACTTGCCTATAGATGTGTGCAGAGAGAGAACGTGCATGGGTATTCCAGTCGCTGAGAAACTCACCCCTCTGTAGTTACTAGTGAAAAAGCAGCAAAAGCCTCAAGGAAACTCCAGCGAGCCCAAAGCCAGCGCTCAGGCCAAACACAAGAATTTGTGACAGAGATCCAAGTCTGTGCCCTAACTGTACCTGAGGCAATGGCCACTGTGAGCAGCCAGCTTGCTTAGTTCAGGTACCACCTACCCAAGGACTGAGGGAGCCCAGGAGAGACAAGAGGATTATCACCTCCTGGAAGAACTGGTGGAATGAGGCAGGTAGGTAGGTGAGCAGTTCATCCACTACCCCGAGTACGATCCAGGTCCCTCTGCTATCCGCTTGTGCAGTCCTGGGCTGACTAGGATCAGGACACAAATGTCAGTATTCATATAAGGGATAGCTCCTTATATTCCCACATCTGAGCTCATTGCTGGGATCCTGTCTTATGCTACACAAGCGCAACACCTGACCGCTGGAAAAACATCGATTCAGTCTGCCTTCCATCAGCATGGTTAAGGCATCCTCATTGTCAGGTGGTCGTGGTCCTTGTCTTTATATCCTGCCCAGAAACACAGTACCACAACATATTGCCGCCCCAGGAGAGCAAAGAAAATCAGTGCTTATTCAATTCTAGTCACATAAGCAAGAGGCTCTTTACAGAATTACAAGTGTGTTCTTGGCATGGTACGCACAGCCCTGCAGTGTCTGGCGTTTCTACAGCAAGAGGGAAGTCCTGGCAAACATTTACCTTGCACGCAGCAGGTCCAGCCCTTCTGGCTCCTTGAGGGAGCTGCCCATTATATACCTTACCCTGCACTCAACATTCTACATTTTTTCAGTTCTTGACTATTGTGAATAACTTCAATGAAGTAGGCCCATTTTTCCTCATAAATGGTAAATATGCTGGAACATACTAATCACCACAGTCAGAACAGAGGTGGTCCTCCACTGTAACAGGGATCATTTGCTTCTACCTTATAAACTAGTCATTAATCCTCAGAGGGACCTCCCATCTCACTCTATGGGGACTCAATTTTTTAAAAGCCTCTGCTGAAGGATATTGACAAAGGTTTTTGGAAATTGAAGTACATTATAGTAGCCAAAGCTACATGCCCTACAACTTCTTCACAGAGCCTCGAGTTGCAAGACGCTCATTCCTCCCTCAAAAACCTGAGACAATTCTCCGTCCTATTGGATGAGAGCCTAATTCCACCTTTCCTCATAGTTTAAAACGTAGTTGTCCAGCATAGCAGGAATTAATCGGCTATAGTTCCCCGGGTAATTCCTGCAGCCCTTTTTAATACCTGAACTCATGCATTGCCTTGCGCTGCTTAGTACCAAAGGTGGGTTAACTGTGGTATATAAGCTACTGCTTAATACCTCAGCATTTTCATTTTTACAAACTTCTAGAGCTTATGGCACTAATGCCTGGTGCTGGGGACTTATGACTTCATTTTACTGACTATTCCAAAACACTTGCTATTGGCACTTTCACTTGAGAAGGCCACCTTTGAGGCAAAGCACTTGAAAAGGAAGGGTCAAGTATTGCACAGCGCTTAAAGTATTTTAATCTGTATAATGCCAAGTGCCTGCCACTTGCAACTCTGTATTGCCTTGCAGCTGTGTAGCCCGAGTTGTCATGGCAGTATTTTTCCCTGGTGTTATCCTCACGGCCTTGCAACTGCAAGCCCTGACACTGTTTTTAGGCAGGTTCTCACGGGAAGTAACTGTCAACAGCATGAAAATCACCTCTTCTTTCTCCCAGATTCTTTTGGAGGTTTCAGTTTAGAGGAAAACCAAAATTTAATGAGTAACAGAGCAGAATTACCCTATATATGCACAAAAGCCTGGCAACCAGCATGCAATACTTGCGTCTAATCCACACACAGTACTCAAGATGCAGATACATCACGGACTTACAGATAACGATGCTCTTTGTTTGGGCTTTCTTCTTTACCTAGTAATCCCAAAGATTCAGTTTGCTTTTTTGGCTGAGTACTGAGCTAATGTCTTCATTCAAATATCTGCATCAAGCCCAAGAATTTGTTCCTGCTCTCCTCAGAGCTTATCACTGTGTATGTGAAATCTGGATTCTTTCAATATGCTTCACTTGACATTTAGCTACATTAAATTTCATTTACCTATCAACTCAGTCAGTCTGTCCTCATCCTTACTAGTTGGAATAAGTCAGTATGAGCAAGCTTCACTTCACAATTTCAGTGCCTTTCCTAGGCTGGACACAACAACACTGAACATCATGGCTCCCAGCTGAGTTACTTGTGAAATTTCACTGAAAAATGTAACCATTTACTTCTACTTTTCCTCCATCTGTAACCATATAAAAAACAGCTTCCCTCTAATTCCATAGGATCACCCAGGTTCCTCAAAAGCCTTTGGCATAAAAACCTGCCAAATGCCTTTTGGCAATTCACGTAGACTACAAGAGACCTACTTCTCCACATACCCAGGGACTCCTTCAAAGAACCCCATGGGTCTTGTGGGGCATGACTTCCCATTAAAGAGCCTGGTTTGTACTCTCCCATAATATCACATATCCATGTCTCCACTAATTCCATTCTTCTTTATAATTTCTATTAATTTTCCTTGTTTCCTTATTAATTCACCTTACTAGTTCAGAATTTCAATACACCCTTTGTTTAGAACTGATATCACATTTGCCACTTTCCAATCTTCAAGTATCAATGCAATCTTTACAGGAGGTCACACATCGCAGCAATACTCTTTTCCTTACTTTCTCTAATCCTCTTTGGCATCTCACAACCTCCAGCATTGTGCCAGTATCTTTCCTGTTTAAGCACTGAATTGGATTTCTCAGAGTCTGGATGTTGTTGTTGTTGTTGTTGTTGTTGACCACTAAGCAATTTTTAACATGTAATACACACCAAGATCACCATTACAAACTAGGATTCCTGCCTATCAGTTGGAATGAAAAAGAAAATGCAGTTAACAGACGAAAAAGAGGAAAGCCTCAGCTTTATTCATTTTCACAGTTGTGATGAATACATGCCAACACTTGGAACAATGGGCAGGCTCCACCATTTTACTTCTAATGACATAGCCCTGTGAGCTAGCGAAGGAAAGCAGCTTCTAGCTCTCACTACTGAGAATTACTAAGAGGAGAAGATCTGGAGTCAGTGACAAGAAAGGTTGTCCAGTCTATCAAAGGGGCCATAAAACCCTAAAATTGTTAGCCAAATAGTAGCAAGGAGAGCTATGGGCTGCTTACAGGCTTCCCCCACGGCAGAGGGAAGGTGAGGAGTTTGAAAATGGCAACCTCAGGCTCAGTTACCATTCCAGACAGATTGCAGATTCAGAAAAGATCCTATTGCAATCCTTATTTAAAGAACATCCTTTAATCAAACAGAAGCTTGTAAATCCTTCCGTAAACATCCAAAGAGCAAAACCAAAATGAAAGTTTAATATTCTACAAAGCCTGAAGCACCAGGGCCAAAAAAGAGCTATGTCTACACTGCGTTCAGGACAGTACTCCACCTCCTCCAGGAAAACCAACTGAGAGTAGTGCTGCTGTGTGGAATCAAGAGAGATGCTTCTACATCCCCCTAGGATGGGAAGCAGAGGCATTCCTCTGCCTTCAACACACCTTTAACAGGCAAGCAGAAATGAGAGATTAAGGAACAACAGCTAGGTTTAAAAGTAAATGACTATCGTATATCTGAAAGCAGTATCTAAAGCTCTTTTTCATCATCATTGCTCCCTGACAAGAGCAGATGCTCTCCATTAGTCAGGTCCCAAATCTGAAATGTATGACTGAATGGAGAAACTGCTTAGAACTGGATTACTTAACTTTTTTCTATGTGATAACTCAAGAGGAGTGGATTTCAATCTATTTTGATTCTCAACTTCTAAGAATTCCCCAGTGTAGGTGGCCAACTCCTGTAGAGAAAGTTTAAGCCTACTGACAGTAGCATGCTTTTCTAGGCTCTCCCTTGCAGATGCCTCAGGAGCAGCACACAGGTCACCAGGCATGTGTAGATCAAAACCCACTGTTCTGGAGGCAGTTCACACTTTGTTGCTGTTTTAAGTCTCTGAATTGACTTCTTTGAGAAACTCCATTCTTCAACAGAGCTGATCGCTTCTCACTTTAGAAATCACCTTTCCCTGCCCTATGGGAACAGCCACAGGTCAGGGCAAGAGAGCAGCTCATGCCTTCTGAATGTTTCTGTGGCAAGTAAACTCAGGACACTTTTGGTACAGGAACAGCAGAAGTGTGGAAAGAGAAGGCAGTGCTGTATGTGTGCTGAAACAGACTGCTGCACAACAGAACACTGATGCGTTATTTAAGGCAAAATAATCTCTAATGATCAATACCCCAAAGCTAAGAGTAAATATTGTGGACTATTTTGAGGGCCTAGTTCAACATCACAGGGAGAAAGAGCTCTATTGTTAAAGAACTGGAAAATGTCAGCAAAGGGATACAGAACATTCCTTATTTATAACTTGTACATACAATTTGTCAGTTTTGTAATACTTAGTTTACAAAACACTATAAAAGGTTGGGTTTGTAGCCTCTTCCTTGTGCTAGGCCTGCAGCAGAAGGTCTAGAAGTTTGTACTCCAAAGTGCAGCCTGACATTTCACTCCTTGGGAGCTTCCTGGAAGGCAGGAACCAACACTTCTCATGTCAAGCTAAAAAGATAAAACAAAAATAAGACTTAGAAGATGGAGTGCCAGAGAGCGCAGAAGGCATTTCAAAGTATAGTCAGTTCTCTACCACTGGTCCTGTGCAACTGCAGATTATTTCCCTTCCTAGAACATAAGAGTCTGAAAAAGAGTGCTCCAGACCCTGTGGCTGCTAAGACCCAGACATAAGAATAGACTTGTCAAGTTGATAAGGGTGAAATGTACACTCACCTGTGTCTGAGAAGTTATTGAAAATTCAGAGCAAGTTTACTAATGGCTCTGTGTTATGCTCACAGACACCAAGTCTTTATGCAGGTCCTATGAAAGGGCAGCAAAGAACTCTTTCAAATGGTTCTTTGAAAAAAGAATTCCTTATTCTTTCCCTATGCAATAAACCATCCCCATACATGTTTATGAAAAACAAGAACTCAGTCACTAAGTTGTAGAGGCCTAAGTCACTCAAGAACATACCCTCAGCATGAAAGCAATGACCACAGGAGTCATAATCAGTTAAAAGACCAAATGAAATTTGCATGGGATATTCATCTCTAAGGATGCCTTGTACAGTTTTTTGCATACATCATGGAAGAGGCAACATCCCATATCGCTACTCCTCCACATAGAGTGGAGCATTAAAAAGAAACTTAGACAAAGCCTTAGGCAAAAAGGCTTTTTAGAAAAGTAACCAAGCAACCAAAAAGAAACTCAGCAAAAACGTTCAAAGGCAGCAGAAATGCTCTGAAGTCTTTCTGGCTCTAGATATGGTTCTAGCAAGTATTTGAAATAAAAGCGTTATGGATTAGAACAACCAAAATCCAAGACGCCAAGCACAGTTACAAGCATTTTAACTTCTAGAACAAGATTTGTGTTCAAAGAAAAAAATTCATACATGACAAAGCTAAGCACTGAACATGGAGAAAACAAGTACTTGAAAGTTGAAGTGGATAGTGCTTCTCATAAAAAAGCATTATGTAATTGTAACAAGAACTGTTACACTTTTCCCCTAAGCAGGCTTATAAAACTTACCAACCAAAAGAGCTAGGAGAAAAATAAACCCTTTTGCAACAAGGTAATTCTTGTGAACAACTCAAATGAAAGAGCAAGAGGGGGAGGGAAAACAAGAAAGAGAGGAATCATTTGAAAACTACTAGTTTTACAGCTTCACTGTAGTAAAATCTTGCCTGTTTTGATTGTTCTCATACACAGAGTTGGATCCTCCTTACCTGTCAATCAAGGAATCTCTCATGCTTGTAGCAATGGTACTTGGCTGAGCTTCATTCAATCTGAAGACACTCTCAATAACAGAGAGTTCAGTACTGGTTGTATCCAGCCCGCAAAAGGCACACCAGTCATTTACAACCATTCCTGCTGCAATTACCTCACTGCCACGATTCACTGTTCCTGCCTAGCAAAAACAAACCGTCAAGAGTTACCATGGTACACTGACAGCACCACACTTTGTTATGCTTTCTCATTACAAGTCTTTAGTGAAGGGCCTCAATTCACACTCCTGAAAAGAGAATAACACTTCTGCCATCAACAAAGTTATAAAGATTTTAGATATAAGGTTGGAGACTAAGGAAAAGTTGTTAACATCTGGAAAGAAAACTGTGTGAAATTCAGTAAAATAAAACCTCACCAACAGGAAGCACAGAGGTATAGCTATTCTGAAATTCATAAATTCATAACTAACTAGGTTGTTGCTGTTTGATTCAGTAGGGAAACGGATTTTAAGACTGAAATTTTTAAAAAGTTGCCTTTGGCCAAACCACAGACAACCTCACAATCTACATGAATGAATCAGTACTACTTGCACAATTCCAACAGAGCAACGTTTCAAGAACAAACTAAAAGTGCTATGTAGCTAATTTAGATTCAGAAAAGACAGGGAAAACGCCTTGGAGAACGCCCCCTTTAAGTTTTCTCATTTCCCACTTGGACCAGCTCTCCAGAGAATACAGTATTGAGGAGACTGTGAGGAAAACAAAACAAAAAAAAATCACAAAGACATAGAAACATTAAAACCGAAAACTGGAATGGAAAGGAGTGGAGAGATAAAACACAAATCCTTACCACAAGTGGGACCTGAAGCAATGAAGAGAGTTCATCCTGATCATCAGTTGAGGTTTTGGGGTGCACAATTCCTCCTTGATTACTAAAAACACAGTAACTTCCTACCAGCACCTGATCTGCTACCGTTTGCCTGAAAACCTCAACTTTTAGCACATCTGCCAAGATCTCTTCTGTCTCCTGCAAAAACAATGCAAGAATAAAGTCCTCAGCAAAATGGTACTGTAGAATTATTAGTCAAGCTGCTCCTGCATACCAGTATCAGCTTTGAAAACCTGTTCACGCTTTCACAGTCCACTGGAATTCAATTATTATACAAACATTTAGTCTTCTTTATCAGTCTTTACACTCCACATGTGTTTCTAGTTACCTGTGCATACCAAGCTGAAAAACTACAACTAAACACAGGTCTCTGTCTTTCCTAAGAAACGCTCTTTCCCCTGCTCTTTCTGGAGGATCCTGGCAATACATGAATCACTTCAATACCAGATCTCTGGGCACACCCTGTGAATCAGTCCTCTGTTGTCCCAGATCTAGGACGCACCTGAATAGTGTCTTTCTGTGCAACTCTGAGAACTTCCTTCCCTTCCAGATAAAGCTCTCCAGGTTTTCATTGTAATTTATTTTGACTGTTCCCTTTCTGGCCATCTTACCTACTTTCTAATCCTATTTAAAGGCAGTGGTCTTTGCAGCATATGTTTTTCTTTTTCTTTTTCTTTTTTTTTTTTTTGCATTTCTTATGCCAATTCCCATTTCTCTGTCACCTTAGCCACAAACTGAAAGCACACAGTCTAAGGACCTTCATTATCTGTAGCCACACAGCACATCTCCCTAATGCTATTAAAATATCAGCTCTCAAATATAAAGTGGCAGCAATTTTGTCTCCACTAACCATGCTTTAAATTTCCACAGAAGAACCTTCCGGTTCTCTTCCACTCAATTGTCTGTAAATATGTATACCACCACTTCCTTGTCCTCCTTCAACACTCTGTTGGAAATTTCAACTAGATCAGCAGCATGCTGTAACTATTGCTGTAATCCTGACCAAAACCCTTTTTATGTTCTCTTTAATTGATTATTACATGCATGCCCACTTCTTTACATTCATTCTATTTCACATACCCAGAGCAAACTGCACCTGACAATATACTCCCACATCCCATCCCTTCCACAAACACCATTTGCTACAGCAAGAGGGCACAGACTCTACTTGGGGAAGGGTCTACCTCTACAAAAAAAATTAACTATATAAAACAACACAGATTAACTGAATCTGAGTCATAAATCCAAAATCCAAGTTTGTGATTTCTCTCCTGAGAAGAAAGGAAACATGAGGCAGCACAGCCTCCTACATGAAGAGCGCTCTGCCATTAGCATAATCCCTCAGACACCTAACTACAGACTCAAATTGTAGCTTCCGAATCATTTCAAATGCATTTGCTATGAATTTTAAAGCGTAAGAGCCATATACCCTGTCAAGATCTGGATGAACAAGAGCTACATAGTCATTGCAAGTAGTGACATTGCCCAGAGCTGAGAGTCGCTCTTCTACTCGCTGAATTCGTACAGAATCTGGAAGACTATTGCGGATATGTTGAAGCTCTTGGTCTGTTGTACTGCTTGGGACTAACAGTCCATGTCTGTTCCCTGAAAGAACAACAATAAAAAAAAAAAGAATAAAAGAAGTTCTGCATTAGATAAAGTAATTTAAAAAACACATTTCCACCGCACTTACTGCTTTCCTGAAGTTCATGTAATGCTTTGGAATTGTCCTTGCTCTATCCATTCCTCCCAGGACCAGAATTCAGCCCAAGTGAAATAATGTCACCATTTAAAAATAAAACAGCACCACAGGTGATGGAAAAACTGAGATGAAATACAGACTTATCTCAAAGTAGAAATCAGTAAGCAGCACTACCTTTCATCGCTTCTCTTATTAAGCAGAACTAGAGGAAGCACAAGGTTCTTACTGAACCACTTTGAGAAAGATTTTCCCCTACAGACGCTGATCACCCAATAATGTACAGAGTCTGCTCATTTTTGTTGCTTTAATGTGGTAAAGCAATAAGGTAGGATGGAGAAAAAATATTCTTCTCACGGTAATTAAACTCAAGCCAGACAGGTGAAAAACTTTTCTTTGACTTACACGTATGTAATGTTTCCCCCCCGCTCCCCCACCACCGCTACCGCACACCTCCAGCGCTGGCTGGGAACCACTAACCTGCAGAGAAACAGAGCAGCCTTTCCCAGGTTGCCAGAAAGCAGAGCGACATGTCTGCTTCATGCGCT